CGCTCCTGAGATAAAGCTCCTCCGCAAGGATGATATCGCCTGAAGCTCCAATGAATATCTCAATACGTCCTCTCCCACCAGAGTAAATATAAGAAACCTCGAGAAAGCGATCTCCGGAAAGAGGCTTTCGATAAGCCTGCATAGCAAAGTCTGTCCCGACCAAATGATTATAGCCATCTTCGAGGTATGAGACCGGACCTTCCCCTAGTGGGGGACCAATAAGTGTCTCAGACCCAGGGTCGTCTGACATGTAGGAGTCAATCACCCTCAAGAAGATACCGTGCTAGAAGATGTGCGATCCTCCTCAATGTCGCCCTCCGACGTCTCCGCTCACTTGTTTCTAGCGCTCCTGTCGCTGTTCACAAACTTTATCCCTGTGAGTGTCCCAGTCGAAATAATCGCCAAGATCAAGGTCACTCACAGAGTAGGGGTCTAAATCGGACTCATCTGTCTCTGATTTCGGGACACATGTAGTGATTGGGACTCCGGATCTGGTTATCTCTCTCTGGATCCGGTCGTCCTTCCGCCTCTTCTCCTTGCTGCGGGGCTCACTAAGAGGCTTGGGGTTGCGTTCATCAAAATCGAAGAGCACACCCCCAGGAGCTGAAGGTACGCGAGGAAACACCACGTGCAGCCAGTTGTCCCTCCAATAGCTCTCCCTGCGAAATATGTAATCAGCAATCCTGTCGTATGTGGTTCCCTTCACTCCCGTCTTTGCCCTCTTCACCGCGTAGGTGATCACGAGCGTGTGTCTCGAAGTCGAGGACTCATTAGCCCTGATAGTGAAACTCTGATGTCCCACATGTCTGTAGCAGAACCTCTCAATCAATCTACCCCACTTAGGGGTAGTCTTACGACGTCGGGCCAGCTTGGATGGAATGCACACTCTCACTGATTTAGATACTCCCTCCAAGACCTGGACGGATAGCAATCAGGAACTCAATATAAAGCCCGCCTGAATGGGCCTGATTGCACTGCAACTCGATATAGGGCCCGCCTGAATGGGCCCGGCTGAACAGCAACTCAATATAAAGCCCGCCTGAATGGGCCCGACTGAACAACAACTATCTGAGAAGAAAGGGCCCGCCCGAAGGGGCCTGGCTGAAAACTGCAACAGAAGAAAGGGCCCGCCTGAAGGGGCCTGGCTGAAAACTGCAACAATCTCGAGAAGTGGGCCCGCCTGAAGGGGCCCGGCTGAATCAGCAACTCAATCTCAAGTMGGCCCGCCTGAAGGGCCCGRATGAACARCAACAATCTCTAGTAGGCCCACCTGAAGGGCCCGGCTGAACARCAACTGATYAGTRGAACATCTCATGCACAGGGACCAGTCGTAAATGCTGAATGTACTGGGGCTAGACTGAGCCWRGTCATCTGTGCAGGGTYTGAACTGCCAATGCTCCCYGTGCGAGGGAGAATATCACGTGCATGAGGTGTTGCTGATCAGCAAAGGAATAAATCAACGGGTACGTGAAGGCAAATCATCCCATCTAGCAACCCTATGCTCGGGGGCACATGGGCTCGCACTCAAACAACAATAACAGGCCTAGGCGCACACATCCAGCGCAAGTGCACATGGGCGCACACTCAAATAACTGTATCCAGCCTGGCCACACACGGGCGCACGCTCTAACAACAATGTCGAGCTTGGGAGCGCATGGGCGCTCACTCTAACTGCTATGCCGAGCTAGGGCGCGCATGGGCGCACACTCTAACTGCAATATAAAGCTTGGGCGCGCATGGGCGCGCACTCTCAAGCTTGGGCGTGCATGGGTGCGCACTCTAACAGCAATATCAAGCTTGGGCGCGCATGGGCGCGCACTCTCAAGCTTGGGCGCGCATGGGCGCGCACTCTCAAGCTTGGGCGCGCATGGGCGCGCACTCTAACAGCAATATCAAGCATGGGCGAGCTTGGGCGCGCACTCTCAAACTAGGGCGCGCATGGGCGCGCAATATCTGGTCAGGGCGCGCGCGGGCGTGCACTGAAAATAAATATCTGATCTGGGCGCGCGCGGGCGCGCACTCAAAATAATTATCTGATCGGAGTGCGCGCGGGCGCGCACTGAAGATTATCTGATCTGGGAGCGTGCAGGCGCGCACTAAAAATAATTATCTGATCTGGGCGCGCGTGAGCGCGCACTGAAAATAATTATCTGATCTGGGCGCGCGCGAGCGCGCACTGAAAATAATTATCTGATCTGGGCGTGCGCGAGCGCGCACTTAAAAAAAAAAATAAGTATGGGCGCACACTGTCGGTCAAATGATAACTGAATATGCTTCTATTTGCGACTTCGATGTTCAGTCAAACAAGATAATTACTCGGCCTTCTCTTAGGGCCGGGGGCCACTATTATCATCAAATGCAGACTAAATACTCAGTGGAAACGAACACTGGTACCCCTGGAGTTGGTCATGTATGATCATCACTCTTGATGCGAAACAACACACAAATGCGAATAGCAAAACGATTCTCAATCAAGGTGCGCAACTGCGTACTGATGCAAATAGCACAATGCTCAGTAATGGCCCTGACAAATAGCACGGTGCTCAGTAATGGCCCACAATGCTCAGAAATAGCTTTTCCGAAATAGCTCTTGCGAAATGGCACTGTTCAGAAAATAGCTCCTGCTAAATGGCACTGTTCAAAAGTAGCACTTGCGAACAACACTATTCAGAAATGGCTCTTTGCGAATAACACTGTTCAGAAATAACACTTGTGAACAACACTATTCAGAAATGGTTCTTTGCGAATAGCACTGTTCAAAAATAGCACTTGCAAACAACACTGTTCAAAAATAGCACTTGCGAATAGCACTTGTTCAGAAATAGCACTTGCGAATAGCACTGTCCAGAAATGGCTCTTTACGAATAACACTGTTCAGAAATGACTCGTTCTGAAATGACATTATTCGGAAATAGCACTTGCAAATAGCACGTTCAGAAATGGTCCTCAGATACGGCGCTCAACTGCGCACTGTGGCAAATGGCTCAAATGGCCCTCAGACACGGCGCTCAACTGTGCACAGTGGCAAATGACTCAAATGGCCCTCAGATACGGC